TCTCTTCTTTCTCTGATCACTGAGAACTCGGCTACCTTTACACAATACCACTCAAAAAAATTTCACCTTTTTCTCACTTCTTCAACTTTTTATCTGACTTCTTTCAGGATAGTCAGATGGAGAGGAGAAATAAAAGGCTAAGGCCAAATCACAAAAGCCAAGATGGGAGAATGTGCCAATGAGGGTGAGGGGTACTCTGCACTATAAAATGCTTCAAAGAGATTCTCGGTTTTAAAGAGCTGAGAAACAAGTAGATGTTAGTGAAGCCAATAGTAAATATAAACCTACTTTTATTATTATATATTTTTTAGTTTGACGAGAGAGAGAGGGAAAGTGAGAAAGCAAGCCACCAGATCTGGGACTTGAACCATGGCCGGCCATATGGGAACCCAGTGCCTTAATCACCATACCACCTGCTGGCCCCAGACATACTTCCTTTTAATTAACCAGAGAAAATGTCCTTTAAAGATCTTCAGAATGTCTATAAGTTCCCTTTACTAGTTTCATCTATGTCCTTATTCTCTCACCAAAATTCATTTTTCTTTTCATTTTTTTAATTACCCAAGGGTGGGTGTGCTTGCCCTAGAGAAACAGGGAGACAGAGAAAGAAAGGAAAAAGCACCCCCTAGTGGGACATGGTCATACCATAATTCCTTCTCCCTCTCTCCATCCTGTCAGGATTTGGAGCATGCATGCACATGCTTCTGGCATGTTTCTCAAACTGCTTGAGGCCAAGATTCAAACCATAGTCAGTTGTGTGGGATCCAGCTCCCTTAACCACTAGGCCATGAGATGGATCCCCAAACCTGTTTTTTCTCAAGTACTGACAATCAAAATACAAAGCTGGTTCTTATTAAATCGTGCTCTTTTTTGTCTACTTTCATTAAATTGCTGGCAGTATAATAGTTTTTTCTTCTAATATTTTATATCATAAATGTATAATATTTCTGCTATATCATGGTTAATATGCTACTGTGAGCTGGCCTGAAGGCTGAATCAGCATGTATGCCATATTTATTGAAGGAACATCTTTCCTAAAGCCCAGAGAATTGACTAGCAAACTAATAGTTTGAACCATATGAAACTGACATTTCTGCAGGTCAAAAATGTTGTATAGCAGCAATTTTATATGGTCTACCTCATATGTTTTCAAGTATAACCGTGATACAAACTGAATATTGGCAAATACTTCATTAACTATGGCGTACTATGAGCCCATGGTTTAGGATGACAAAAGAAGCATAGGGGACTCCAAGAGCAACTAAGACATGAGCCTTAATTGAACTTTTGCTAAATTTTTCAAACAACAGCAACCTCTTCACTGCAGCAAGACATCTGACAATGGCACTTTCCAGGCCTGCTTGCCCATGGTGGCTAGCTTTGCTCTAGCCATATCCAAGAACTCTTATTCCACCCTTTCCAATGTTCCTGGATTCGATCTAGCCCTGTTGTCTGGGGAACCTAATTTCCAATTAGGACATAAGGCATCAGATACATAAAAGGCAAGTAGACTCACTCTGTCTGGGTCTGATTAAATGTCTCCCTTCATCCAACACTGCACATTCATACTTAATGTTGTATGATCACTAATTTTCAAAAATAACAAGTGACATCAAAGCATAATTATGGAAAAATTTTATCTAGGGACACACTCATTTCTTTACTGGCCATACTCTCCTTTATTGCCCATTACCACCAGAGAGATTTATAGGAACTGTTATACTTCATTCACCACTGCTCCCACTGTGTTATGTTAATTATGAGGTGGTTAATGCTGTGCATTATAAACTGGCTCTCATTCTGTGCCCATAACTGACATAAATTATTTTCCAAACAATGCTATGAAAAGAAAGAACAGAATTACTCAAGAAATAACAATCAGAAATTGTTCACTCATTCATTCAAGCCAAAGTCCCTTTAAAAGAATGATATTCTTAGTGATATATTTAATCCGATCTTAAAGAATGAATGAGTCCTTTATCTGATATTCTTTCTCTCTTTATATTTCCTGAATCTAGCATGAGATTTTGAATAGAGTGATGGGCATTCAATAAATTCTTAAGGAAAGGAAGAAGGAAGGAAAGTAGATAGGAAAGGAAGAAAATGCCTAATGCATTTTCTTACATAATTGAGGTAATGAAACATGAGAACTTATATGAAGAAAAATGAGATGTAATGTGGGTAATAAAATATTATGTTAAGGGACTCCATTAATTTGAAATAAAGATTGGGAATTTGGACTCTAAATTTCTTTTTACTATTTTTGGTTCTTAAGCTGTGTTCTCTACTGTTGTTCCTTATCCAGGAATGATGCATACATTTCATGTGGTAATATTCATATCTGGAATGTGATCATTATAATTCTAAATGCAAGAGCACGCTCTACTCTTTTACATTATGCTGTATTGTATTGGTAGTTTTTGTGGGAAACTTGGATATTAAAATCACACACATGCACACGCACACGCACACACACACACACACACACACACACACACACAGAGTTATCTGAATTTACATTTCTTCTGTGAAATCCACTTATCACCATCTCAGCTAATGTTTTCTGTCCTGACAGTTTCAGACACTTCTGTCTTTCCAGTTTCATCAAGTAGTTTTGTTTTTTGTGTGTTGTTTTTTTTTTTTGAGAGGTTTTTGCTATAGGACGCGTGAGCTCGCCAGACAGACAGAGAGAGACATAGAGACAGAAAGCGAGAAATCACCTCCCAGGGGGGATGGCCATGCCGCAATCCCTTCTCCTCCATTCTCCTTTCAGGATCTTGGGCACGCACGCACATGCGCTCGGCATGAGTTTAAGCCACCGAGTCAGGACTCGAACCACAGTTGACTACGTGGGAGTCCAGCGACATAGCCATTATGCTAACTGCTGGTCCCTCATGAAGTAGTTTTACTAAGGTATTGGAAACAGGAATGACAGCTATATTTCCATTTGCTTTACAACATTTTGTTTCCAGTACATATCACCTTGCAGTGTGTTCCCTCATGGCACATTACAGAATCATTAAATTTAAAATGAGAGATGTGGTCGATGATTGACTGTTCTCTAATTACCCAGAGTGTTTGTTAAAGGCAGTAGGCAAGAGACATAAGCTCTATTTTACTGTTATAGTGACTGTCAAGGTTACAGCACGTCTCTGCTAGTGCAGAAAACCTACCCAACAGGGATGTTCAATGGAGAAGACCTTTCTCAGTGGAATATATACCCTCCCCAACAGAAAAAGACAGTGAAGAAAAATGTCTCATGATCAAAATTGGTTCATCTCATGTCTTCAAAATAAGAAACATATCTAGATTCAAACTTCTTTTCATTACTGAAACTTTTTAGACCTTTTTCCTAGCAGCTGCCCCAGCCAAAATCAGGACAACCCCAGCTCCTGAGCTCCCTGAAGAATTGGCTAAGGCCTCTGTTGTAACCATGTTTCTGGTTATTTCTTATTCTGCCTAATTCTACTCTCTTAGTTACTTATTGCTACCTAACACATCAGCACAAACTTAATGGCTTTGAAAAGATAGACATTTATCATCTTACAGCATTCATGATCAGGTGTCTAGGCACAGACTAGCTGAGTGCTCTGTTCAGGCTGTGAAGTGTTGGCCAGATTACATTCTAATTTGGAGATGTGTCTGAGGAAAAATATGCTTCCAAATTCACTCCAGCTGTTGTCAGAATTCATTTCCTGGTAGTCATAGGACTGACTACCAACTTCTTGCTAGCTATTAGCTAGAGGCTGTCTTCAGTGCCTAGAGGTCACCAGTAATTCCTAGAGGCTGCCCATGGTTTCTTTTACATGAGTTTTCCTAACATGGCCTCTGATTGAATGAAGCCAGTAGAGTCTCTAGAACATGACTGGTAGCAAGACAGATTAATATATAAGATGAAGCAGTTGCAGGAGCATGACATCTCATAGATTTTATTGTATTCTGTTCATGAGAAGTAAGCCACAGGTCCCATACCCACTCAAGGAGAGGGGATGACATAAAGGTATGGACATCAGAAGATAGGAATGATGGGGGCCTCCTTGGACTATGTCCACCACACTTGTGTTCTCATTTCTTACAGGTGTATCTCCTAAGAGCACTTATAAGCTTTCTGTATGTGACTACCCATCTTAGAATCTATATCCAAGGAGCAACAGTGGAGGCAGGGAAGTGAGTCAGAGATGGTTGATGTCACATAACTATGGATGATAGCAGTAGGAGATTAAGTAGTCAATTTTGTTTTCATGAATACATGCATAGGGCTGGCTCTGTAGCATAGTGGTAATATGCTGCTGTAGTAATGACGGATCTATATGGAAGATCACAGATTCCATTCCTCAATCAACCTGTATGTGCTGGGCATATACGCCCATGAACTCATGATCCTAGCTAGCTGCAAAGGAGGTTAGTTCATGGTGTGAGACTCTGCTGAAGGTGCCTCTGTGTGTGTGTGTGTGTGTGTGTGTGTGTGTGTGTCTCCTCATGAAAGAAAGAAACGTTAACAAACTTTTAAAAAGTTAAATTTAAAAAATGTATTATCATTATAATTGGACTTTAGATAATATGTGGCCTCTCCAGAAATAAAATCAAATCTAAAACTTATAAGCTGCCTTCAAAAAGGATACACACAACAAAAATAATTCACTTATGGTGCTGCAGAACAGATTAAACATAACTAATAAAAATCAGACTTACTTTATTTTTCCTAGCTAGATGCCATGTGTGCTCACCAGACACTGAGAGATAGAAGGAGAGAAAGGGAGGGAGAAAGCACATCCAGTGAGGCATGGTCACACCACAACCCTTTCTGGTCCATTTCTCCATTCTGTGGAGATTTGAGGCATGAACATATGCCTGGAATGTTTTTCAAGTTGTCAGGGCTGGGAATCAAACTTCAGTCAGCCATGTGGGATCTCACTCCCTTAACTAGGCCATGGTCCGGCCCTAAAAGACTTCCTAGTTCCTTCTCATACCACAGTCAGTCACACAATCACACAATCAAAGAGAGATGATTACCACTTTATTAAATTAGGAGAGATTGAACTTTTACACATTGCAGAAATAGTAAACAAGTAGAACTGTTCAATTAGACATTAGTGACATTCAGAAAATGTATAAGCAATTGTTGATACAATAACAAGATGAAATTCCACTCTGTATATCAAATCGCCCATTTTTGCCATGCCATTTATAATTTTTTACTTTTGCTAACTTAGTCATATACATAATTATATAAACAATATTCAAAAAAGATACATTTTAATTATTTCTATACCATATTATTGATATTGTTCACTGGAAAAAATTAATTGTCTTAGGTTTTGGAAGTGTAAAATATTATATATTTATATATGCCTGACCTTATTTCAGGAAATGTTTAAATCAATAACTACAAATATCACATGACTACACTTAAACACTGTTGTCAGAAATATATCTTAGAATAATTTTAGTAGCCATCTGCTTTTGATTTCAGTGGGCTTCATGGGTATCGTTGATTGTTTTTCACTTTCAAGCACATTCAAAATTTCTTACAAAAGAAGAATAGTGAAATAAAATATATACTCTGCCCTTGGTATTTTGGAATGCTCAGCAGTCACACAGAAACACGTGTTGAGTTTCTTGGGGAAGCAGAACAACAGCCCCTCAGAGAGGGGTGAGTCGTTCATCCTCTGTCATGAAGGTGTCATTAATATTCCCTCCCTTCACATCCAAGGGATCGCAGGGGATGCCATTTTCAATTGTAACAGTGTTTTCACATTTATCTTCAGCTTCATCCACTTCAGACAGTCCTTTGTTTTTCCTAAAAATACATAGGAAGAATGATTGGGATCTAGGAGGAGAAAGCACGGCTGAGTATGAGTCTGTACAAACATGGAAAACAGGAGAAGGAATGGGAATTGTAGGATAATGAAATGACTGATGACATTATGAATTTTCAAATAAATTTCAAAGACCATAAAGAGTTGGTGAAATAAAAAGACACTATCAAGATAATAAGTCTACATGAACCATATTGATTAGATTAAGTGGTCATTGAGAATATTAAAATATGTACTAATATGTTTATGAATAAGTATATATGTATATATGTACATGATTAATGTATCTATATACACTTATACATATATCCATTCACACACAGAACTTGAGTGAAAGGATGTGAGGAAAATGTATAGTAAATTGACAAATTTTTAAATTTAGCTATAGAACAATTTAATAAAGATAGAATTTTAAAAAGTAATAAATAGGGACCAGCAGATGGTGTAATGGTAATGTCTCTGGACTCTCATGTAGTCAACTGCAGTTCAAATCCCAGACCTGGCAACTTAAAACTCACCCTGGGCGCATGTGCATGCTTGCCAAGATCCTGAGAGGAGAATGGAGGAGAACGGATTGTGGTGTGGCCATCCCCCCCCTTGGTAGTGATTTCTCACTTTCTGTCTCTCTGGTGAGTGCACATGCCCTATAGGAAAAAGCTCTCTAAAAAAAAGTAATAAATTCCTTTTGTAGAATTTGGCAAATTAAGAGTCACAAAGGCTGAGTGAAAATCAAATTGAAATGAAATATGAGAAAGCAAATTCACATTACTTTTTTAGAAATTAAGTAACTCTTATAAGTTGTAGATATCACTGCTTGGCTCTACTTACTACAAATAGTTGTGTTCATTAGTAAGTTGGGGTTTTGGAACTCAGAACACATTTTCCTAACTACATGACAATCACAACTGTAACGAAGCCATTCCAAGAAAATCTACATAATAGAATAAATTTCTGAGTTTCTTATACTGTGGTCCTTTGTAGACTCTAATACCTAACTGAAGTGATAGCCAGATCCTTAATATTTCCTTGGAGTTCAGAAAGCTGCAGTAGCTAATTCAAACAATATTCCTGGGGCTTGAGGGTGGTGCAGTAGTAAAACACACTCTGAGAGACTATCCACATGGGAAGATTCTGGTTCATATACACGGACCTCCCTGAGTACTGCCTATGATCTGGGGCTGACTGAGGCTAAGGTTTGAATATGGTGTCAAGATCCTGTTGCGGGTGCTATCTCTCTGCTTCTCTCTGTGTGTATCTAATGCTCATGGACGAAATAAAACAAAAAAAGATTTTATTGTCTTTTATAAAAGACTAAGACACTGTGACAATTAGACTTGATATCAGAGGGTAAGAGAGAGAAGAGAGGTAGGTGACTCTAGGAAATCAAAGGGAGGAAGTGTTTCCTTGAGGCTTACCATGAGTTCTATGTCAGGGTACCACTCCATGGTGATACCGTGGGAGCATGATGTTAGGCATCCCAGACTTGTCAAGGAGCCCCTTGTCCCAGGAATATGTGGAAAACCCCAAAGAGACAGACCTAAAGAGATCACCTGGCTGGAATGCTAGGCATTGCTGTGGTGACCAGGGTGGACTTACATCACTATGTGAGTATCTTAGGACCTTGATGAATCTCTGACAGGTCATGAGGTAGTGATGATCATAGAAATGATATTTCCTACTAGTCCTGTGTGAAGGGAAATTTTATTGTATTTTAAAGAATATGGCATAAGGGACTGTTAACCAGAATATACGGGGTACTCAACAGCTCACTCACAAAAAAAAAAAAAAAAAAAAAAAAAAAAAAAACCAAATAAATACCCCCAAAATGATCAACCCAATTAAAAGATGGGCAAATGAGCTGAACAGACAACTCTCTAAGGAAGATATACAAACAGCCAAAAAAGCATATGAAAAAATGCTAAATACCCCTTATCATAAGAGAGATGCAAGTCAAAACTACAATGAGATACCACCTAACCTCAATCAGAATGGCTAAGATTTAAAAAAATAAAGATAAGTGCTGGCAAGGCTGTGGTGAAAAGAGAACTCTCCTACACTGTTGGTGGGAATGTAAATTAGTACAACCACTTTGGAAAACAATATGGAGGTTCCTCAAAAACTTACAAATAGCACTACCATATGATCCAACAATTCTACTTCTGGGCATCTACCAAAAGGATGGGAAAATGCTCAGTCAGAAAAACACTTGCACATCCATGTTTATTGCAGCATTATTCACAATTGCTAAGATATGGAATCAACCTAAATGTCCAAGAACAGATGAATAGATTGAAAAACTGTGGCACAGATACACCATATGGAATACTACTCAGCCACGAAAAAAAGACACACAATGAAACCATGGCATTTGATAGAAAGTGGATAAATACGGAGGATTTAATGCTAAGTGGAGCAAGCCAGACTATGAAAGATATGCATTGTATGTCCCCACTTAATATATACTGAATGTCTGCACTCTGTGACAGAAACTAGAAGACTGGAAGGTATAAAAGCATGGAGAACGAAGTGTATACTGGAGACAGTATGAGAGAGTGATGGGCAATACGGGGGCAGGAAGGAAGGAATCAATGGGGGGAAAAGCAAAACATTTAATGAACACAAAAATGAAAAATTATCTGTGGATGATAATGTGTATGTGAATATCTCTGATTGGAGTAATAAGTAGTTTATTCATGCTGGGAAAATTTATTTTGTATGCTGTAAAGATTGTACAGTGATTAAATGTAAAAAAAAAAAGAAAAAGAAATCACTTTTTTTAAAAAAGAATATGGTAGAGGAGAGGGGAGAAAAGAGAAAGCTCTTCTTTGCAAAAGAATGCCAACTAATGTAGAAAAGGTAATAGAAATAGAAAATTGACACTAAAAAAAAATTTATATTGATGAGGCTCATCAATCGATAGTAAACTATTGAGTAAGAGATGGCTAGGGGAAAAAAAGAGATGGATAGGGAACAATATATCCACATGATCCACCCCTACAAGCAATATTTTTTAAAAAATTGCCATAGGGCGCATGTGCTTGCTGAAGAGAGGCAAAGAGAGAGAGAGAGACCACCCCCTGGAGGGATGGCCACACTACAATCCCTTCTCACTCTCCTTTTGGGATTTTGGACAAGCACGCACACATGCCCAGCGTGTTTTACAAGCCACCAGGTCTGGGACTCGAACCACACAGTCAGCCATGTGGGATCCAGCCACTTTGACCACCACGCCACCTGACTTGCCACACAAGCAACATATAAATAGGGAGAAAATTATATAAAAAAAAATCTATTGACCATCACCAATAAATAGATGGAACTGATAAGTGCCTCTAGATGTGAGACACTGGGAAGATCACAGATACATATTTTTACTGTGTTCTGTCCACTTCCCTCCAAGTTTTGGACCTGAATATCAAGAGGAACTAATTTTAAAAAATCCAAATTTAAAGATATTTTAAAAAACAACTGACCTGGACTCAGCACAGAATAGGTATTCAACTCAATAGTTGAATGGATAGAGTAATAAATGTAGATCAATATCTGGTGACTGAATAACAAATTAATGAATGGATGGCCCTATGGATGAGTAGAGGATGGATGCTTTAGAGGACAGTTGAACAAACGGATAGATGAATGGATGGACAGAACAATGTTGTAAAAGCTACTCAGACAGTAGCTCAAAGTAGTTTCTGAATGAGATCCATTATATGAAACAGGAAGAGTAGGCCAACAGGTGGTGTGGTGGCTAAGACACTGGATTACCACCTTGGCAACCATTGTTCAAATCCTAGACCTGGCAGGTTGAAAATCATGCTGGGCATGTGTGCACGCATGCCCAAAATCCTGAGAGGAGAAGGGATTGTGGCATTGCCATATCCACCCTGGGGGCTGATTTCTCACTTTCTGTCTCTCTGGTGAGCACACATGCCCTACGGCAAAAACCTAAAAAAAGAAAAAAGAAACAGAAATAAAGAAGGAAGACATGAAAGAAAAAGAAAGAGAAGAAAAGAGAGTATATATACATATAAATTGCACTTTAAAAATGAATTATTTATTTAATTTTGTTTATTCATTCACTTATTTTTTTATTTTTTTATTTTTTGGAGAGGTTTTTGCTATAGGGCACGTGAGCTCGCCAGACAGACAGAGAGAGACAGAGAGACAGAAAGCGAGAAATCACCCCCCAGGGGGGATGGTCATGGTGCAATCACTTCTCCTCCATTCTCCTCTCGGGATCTTGGGCATGCACACACACGTGCCTGGCATGAGTTTTAAGGCACCGGGTCCGGGACGCGAACCGCGGTTGACTACGTGGGAGTCCAGCGACATAGCCATTACACTAACTGCTGGTCCCAATTCATTCATTTTTAATTTGAGCAGATAGAGACACAGAAAGAAACAGGGAAAGTGAGAAAGCAAGCCATCAGGTCCAGGACTCGGAATCTTGGTTGGCCATATGGGACTGTCCAGCACCTTAACCACCACACCACCTGCTGGCCCCAATTGCATTTTTTTAATGGATAAAGGAAATTATTCACTTTCCTGCCTTGGGAGTTAGTATGAATTTTTCTAACCTTCACTGATGGTTTATTAAATAATTTCAGATAGTTGGAAATTATAAATAAAAGTAAAGTATCATTCCAATACTGTAGATCCTCCTGTTATCACTTGAAAGTATTTTGCCATTGTCTATGCCACCACTGAATGTCACACATTATCATAGACAATCCCTGAATTGGAATGATCAGATCTAAACAGTCATTCATAAACCTTCCAGCCCAATGTCGGGTTGGAAGTAGGGGGTTATAGTCTGGACACCTAGGAAAGGAGAGGCTGTTATGTTTTTCAATCCTTGGGGTAAAGATACTGCACTGGTCACTCCAAGCACTGGCAATCAGTGATCAGCATGGGTTGAGATGGATATAGAGTTTAATGTAATGAGAAGATCCTCTAGCAGATTAAATCATCTGCTGGAGGA